TAATAATAATTATTATTATTATTATTATCATTATTATTATCATTATTACTATTATTTAGAAGGCGTATTTACCATGATTGTGCGATGGAATATGTTTACAATTTGTATTTCTTCTTCGACCTTTAACTCCTATTAATCGAATGTTACTGATATGCCCTAGATCTATTGTGGACATACATGTACTTCAAGTGTGTGGGTTAGAAGCTGTTCTGAAGATTTTGTTATGTTAACATTACAGATCCTTTCTCATCCATAGGACTTTACATAAAACAAAATAGGACAAACTAATATAATGAAAATAGTTAGTTCTGAGCAGCCTTAAGCGCACTCACTGGAATGTTAAAACAATAGTACCAGGTCAAAACGATAAAGGGGAACACTTGAAGACTACTCGCGGTAAGGATGTTTTAAAGCGTCAGGCTCCCAGTCCGATATTTAGACAGGTGGAGAACTTAATTAAGATCAAAGTACTGTAACCAGAACGGTTGCAGTTGATTTGAAGTTTACACAAACACACACACACACACACACACACACACATACACACACATACACACACACACGCACGCACTCACGCACACACACATAAACACACACACACGTACGCACGCACGCACGCACACACACGCACGCATACACACAAACACATACATACATCCACAAACACTCTCGGGAGCACAACTGTTACTGTGGGTATTCGAGATAAACAAGCATCGTAATTCGGACTCTGGGAAAGAAATAACAATATATTAAGTATCTTAGGTACACATGACCTCCATATAGTAACAAATCTCAATACAACACAAAGCTGAAGAAAACCAATAACTGAACAAGATAATAATATTCCAGAAATAATTCCCAAACAAGGATAGTCCCGAAGCAAGAACGAAATACAAGATTAGAAATGCATAATGAGTCCATCCGTTCGAAGCCACAAGCGACCAATTAAGGTGGGAGATATGATTTAAAGCCCGAGCAAAAACAGAACATCGAGACAGTCCGACTGGCGACAAAAATAGCACACACACACACACACACACACACACACACACACACACGTCAAAGCCAAACCTTCAGAAAGACATTCATATATATCTCGTTACACAGTCGAAGAATTTCAGGCTTTGACTATTGTGTTTAAGACAAAGCCGAGCCCGCGTCGAAACGGACACATTAAAGACAGCCATAGATTTTGGAACATCGCCCAAAGAAATTCGACTCCCACCGCACCGTCAGAAGAAATTCAAAAGCAAGAAACAAGCTTTCCATGCCTCTCCACCTACTTGAAGAGCACCTTCTGCTCCTATCGCAAAGACTTGTCAATCTGACCCCGTCACACTCCATGAGGTTTCCAGAACACTGACATCATAAGCAATTTTATTTATTTATTGTCTTATTTATTGTATTACCTGTTTACTTACTTTTAAAAAAAATATTAATTTATCATTTGTATTTTCGTTCAGCCATTAAAAAAGACTTTATTCAATTATACTGTATTAATAAGTATGTTATCATTATTATCTTATAACATTTTAAAATCTGTTCCTATTCATTTATGCTGAATTTTAGGAAGGGTCAAAGAGACGCGCCTACCGAATTCCTATAGCAATTCAGCACTACCCAACAAGTTTGCTAATTATTTCACAGATTACGCCCAGAAGCTAAGAAATGACCTTGGTAACTATGAAACATGTGGTAATTTTGATGTATATGATGGGATGATTCTCGATAAGTTTAAACCTGTTTCTAAAGAATACATTGAATCAGTAATTCTAAAATCCCCTAGCAAGCATTGTGATCTGGACCCTGTCCCATGTTCTCAATTGTCTTCTTGCATTGGCGAACTGATCCAATTTAATACCAAAATCATATATTATGATTCTCTAGTGTGCATGTGCGG